ACTCCTGGGCTCAAGCGAGTCTCCTGCCTCTGCCTCCCAAGTAGCTGGGACCACAGGTGCCTGCCACAACGCCCAGCCATTTTTTGGTTGCAGCTGTCATTGTTGTTTGGCGGGCCCGGGCTGGATTCCAACCGGCCACCTTAGGTATATGTGGCTGGCACCTTAGCTACTTGAGCCACAGGAGCTGAGCCACTAGGAAACAACTTAACCAAGAAAATCTACTTCTTAAATTCTAGTCTTATAAAAAGTGTACGCAGGTGTCTGAGTACAAAAGTTTACACACATTATATACAGACCTTGGAAATGAAATAGATGATTAGTCTCTTTTTTGTTTGTTTGTTTGTTTTTGATAGTATTCTCAATCCTACAGTTATTTGTAACTCCAGAAATACGAAGCTGATTTGTGCCCACTTAGCTCTCTTTTGGGCCCATTAACTATTTTTTTAAATGACTAAGTCAGTTGGTGTTCCATGTAATCACTAAATTTTATAAGAAAGAAGAATCTAACAGCCATTTAGGAACACTGCCTGTTTCATGACTAAGAAATAAGGCTCACGTGTGAATCGCTGCCGAGCTGCACGCACTTTTAAAGAGGCCACCTGTCTCCCTCTAGTCCAAAGACTCTTCACACATCGCTGATTTCTCACTATCCTTCCTCCTTTCTCCTTGCTGTGCGCTCCTCCCCCTCCTCCCACAGTCATCACTACTTACAGTTCCAACAACAAAGCGTCCAGATCATCAAGCAGAAGTGTTTCTTTTATTTATTTCTCTTTTTACTATACCTCAAGCAATACGCCCCCCAGTTTGATAAGCAGATGAGACAGGTTTTACAGAGTTCTAGATGACCTGCAGTGGGTCGGTGGAGCAGTTCACAAGTTTCTGTTTTTACCAAGTGGCCCATAATTCCTATGCACAGTCAAGTTTGTGAAGTAACTGTCTTTCCTCTCACAAATTCAGAGAAAAGGAACACATTAAGGTCCTACTCACATTTTTTAAAAGGTGATGTATTAGTTAAAAGAAAGCGTTCAAAACCTAATTTTCTCATGGATAAAGTACTGAAACTGAAGCAACTAGTGGTACATTAACTTTCAAAAGAAAATTACGGCACTGCCTCAGCATGTTACTACACTGTATCCATCAAATCTATCCGCATCCTACAAGATAGCTATGTAACACAGAGTGTAATGTGAAGTTCTCTCCTTGTCTTCTAGAAATATTATGCTAATACAGCTTCAGTTTAATGAAAGTCCTACTAAAAATAGGTTGGTCTGATACAATACATTATCATGATTCAAATGGAATTGTTAGCAGATGGTGGCAGACCAGGCCCTGATATTTTCTGTTGTGTTTACTCTGTTTACTCTCCTGTTTCCTAGATTCAGAGAATCCTAAAGGAAAGTGCTGTCTTTTTTTCTAGCACCTATTAGAGGATAGAGTTCAAAGTACATATTCTTTCACTAACTCTTGAATGGATGAATCCATTAATGAATTTCTAATGACTAGAAATTCAACACATACGCATTCGAGGAGGAAAACATACATGACCAAAATCAAGTAAAACTTTTGTAAAATTACCACACATAGCTATAACGTAAAACAAAAATACAAAGAAAGAGAAAATAAGTATCTTTAAAATAAAGAAGAAATCCACCTGGTTCACGTCACCAACTAAAGCATGTAGAAATTTTAAATAAAGTTTTAATATTTTTATATTTAACAATCTAAGACTGATTTCTATAATTGTGCTAAGGTGCTATTTCTTACACAACTGATATTCTAGGATGCTTAGGAGCTAATGTTTAATGTGATGGTTAATTAGTATTGGAAAAAATCTAGATGAAGATATATAGGTCAGAAAAACGTGCAGAAGAAGAAAAAAATGTTCTTTTTTAACTGCATGTACTTTACTAACCCTTTAAATGCATAACCAATTATGAACACTGTGGTGCTATCAGTAATTTCTTACTGAGCATATAAATTTAAAATGGTGATTTCAATTTTTATTTCATCAGGGCAAGGAAGATAATAAAATTGAATACTAATTAGTGTATGTGGGTCATACACCTGAAAGATTAGATGAATACTGTGCTCATTATAACTGAGTTTAAGCAAAGTACTCAAATGTTTCATTTGAAGGACTGAATATAAATAAAAGAATTAAGGGGCAAAGGAAATCAATAATGAATACTCAAACACACAAAATGATACATCATTAGACTTGCCAGATTCTCTTAGATACGATTTTCTTTCAAGAAATTAACAAAGTTTTTTTATAAAACATAACCTAGAAAATAAGTTATGAAATAATGCATAAGTATCTTGAACACAGACACTAAGTATTTATTGAATAACAATGGAGAGCTTTAGTTTTTCTCCCCTTGGGTGGGAGATTTTGCCCTCCATTACACCCGGTTTCATATCTACTTTAACTGTGCTTCTCTAAGAGTTCATGATTATCTTCAGACAAAAAGCAAAACTATCATCATCATTATTCTACATCCCTTAAAAGTAATATCAGTTTTTAATTATTCCGCTTAAGAGGATAAACAAAATCATTTAATTTAAACAGTACATTGCCATCCTGAACCTCAGCGTCAATGCATTCTATGATAGATATACTTTTATCTGACAATGTGAATGTTCCTTTTTTGCATTATTATTATTATTGCTCAATATTTCGTTGCAGCCATCATCTGATTTATTTTCCAAATGTATTTATCTTCATTCATTCCTTGCAAGGTTTTTGTTTCTAGTCCTCATCTTAAACATTGTTATTGTTATTAAATTTCAAGCCTTTTAAATTTGTGAAGGCAAAAAGTGGAAACCAAATAAACACATGTACATGTACAGAGAAAATTAAAATTAAAAAAAGAAGGGCATTGAACTGAAGTAAAATATTAGGACACTGGCCTTGAGAAGGTATCTGGTTAAAAAGGAAACTTTTATAACACTTCAGTGTTTGGTGGAGTGTTTAATAAATCTTATAATTTGATAAAGCAGATTCTGAAAGCAAATACGTTTTACTGGCAATGCAAAATGAAAAAAAAAAAAAAACCCAGCACATTATCCTATTCCATTAAGGTTATTTCTACCTTTAGTCACTGGGACAAAGGGAATATTTAAAAGTGTGTACAATACTTTGAAAAGTAGAATGATGCATAGTGTTGAGAAAACAATAAACTGGGTAAAGCAAAGAGAAAAATCTGGACGGGAAACATTTATAATGTATTTCTCAGAGTAAATACTGCAAAAAAAATGATATTTATTGTATCGAAACGCATAATCATTTAAGCTGACAAACATAACTTGCCACACAGAAACCCTCACACAAACTCTCATATCATCTCCCAATTGTTAGGCAATTTCTGCTATGAATATTAATTTCTAAAGTTTAGAACGGCAATCTTACAAATGCATTTCAGAATAGTCAACTACAGTTATTAAAAATGTCTCCAGAATAGTTATTAGTACATAAAATACAAGCATTTTCTGTTACTCCTTGTCTTATTCGAAACCTTCATTGGATCATCATTAATCTGTGTTCAAAATTGTATTCCAAAATCTGGAATTCTTTCTGCAAATGGGGCTATGGATTCAAAAAGCCAAATGTAAATTAAGAAGAATTGTTGGCAAATGCACCACAATTTAAATACATAAAAAAAAGAATATAAGGTAGTAAGATTGATAGAGCTGTATCAATAAAAGAAATATATGTATATTATATATAAGATTTTCTAATAAACTGAGCAAAGAACTATCTGAAGGAGCTTTTGGCTCAGTTTTTAAACTATGGAAGTCTTGCTGCTACTTGGCCATGAATTAGTTTTTTTTTTTTTATATTCAATGCCTATAAGCCAGCCCTTATATAGTACACCCAATAATGTCACATCTGGAATTTTTCATGTGTCTGTCGCTCAAAATATGTACAGACAGAACAGATCAGTCACCTCGACTAATCAAAATTCTCTAATAGCTCCCCACTTCAATGGAGTAAGTAAGGCTAATACCTTTTAGTATGAACCCTTTGGCATAACCAACTCACACACTAAATTTGAACACATGCCTCCAGCAACTTGTCCTCAGGTCATGATTTTCTACAAGATATTCCCAGATGCCCATGTGGCACCTCTGCTCATGCTGTTCCCTGGGAGTCTAGTTTCTCTTGAAAGCTATTTTCCCAGGCCTAGTCTAAAACTTAGCTATCCCATGTGACTTTCTCAAAATAATTAAGTACTTCCTTCTCTGACCCCATGGTATACTTCCCTTTAGCACAAGTCAATGACTTTTTAAACAGTTATCAATGTGCTTTTCCCCAACAGAGGGAAAGCCTTTCACAGAAATCAGTTCTGATCATCTTTTTTGTTCTTCTAATACCGAGCTTACTGTTCCACTTTATCTAAATGCTCAACAAGCACTGAAATGGATAGAATATAAGGTTCTGATAGGGCAACTGTCCAGGCCGACTTGGGGAAATTAATTAATTTCTCAGCATATTGTAGTTTTCTCTTGTTTTAAAACAATAGGTGGTGGATGACAATGAATGACCTAGGAACTGAAACATCTCAGCTATTGAAACAAGGTGCATCTGAAGTACTGTGATGTGTATCCTGATCCACTGCATATTTCATACTTGTGTGTGTGGAACCACTTCTTAGGAATGAAACAGATATAACTTAGATAGTCTTGAAGTGTCCTAGGTTGCTGCTGAATGTCAGCACTGTGCTAATGACACACAGCACACGAGAAAGCCCCTCCCTTTGATATGTACATTAAAATAGTGGCATTTAACCTCAAGCAATTTAACGCTTTTAATCTCCTTATACACTTTCCAACAGAGTATGTATGGTTCCCACATTTTCAGAGTTTATAGCCAATTTGAGCTTTTAGCCAAATCCTCTAAATCACTGAATCAGGAAGAGAGTCCCACTGAGTTCTCACTTGTCTGCTTTCTTAAATGACTCGTCATTTGGGCAGTTACCTTGTCCCATCCCATCTGTTACCTGAATCCACGGCCATCTGTCATTTTCTGCAGCCGTCCACGCATTTATCAGCCCCTTCTTATTAAGACGTGCATAGTAGGGATACCATTTCTGGAGTCCAAAAAGAGCTCGGTGAGTAGAGGAAGCTGTTATTTGCTGATTTGATATGATTCCACCTTCAATTCCCAACGGACCTGAGCATTCTGGGAACAAAGCAGAAAAAAGCACCAACGTTTTAGAAATAATACATCTGCAAAATGTGACTGCACGATTTAATGGGAGATTTCTTTAAATGATTTGAACCTGTGCCCCCATGCCTTGTACACCTCATCCAGTTGACTGACTGCAACATTAAGGAAATGATTCTTGCTCTTCACGATGCTGTCTGCTTCCTCTGCTGTGACTGTGGCCACTGTACAGACACTTCCCTTCTGCATTACAATTCTGTATAATGGACTGATATCTCAGGTCCTTGGATTGTTGATCATGTCAACACAAGCATAATGTGCCTAAAAGGCCTTATACTTTAAATCGCCAGAGATTAGCATGCCACATAAATCTAAAAGACTCAAAAAACATTTGTCAATCCATTATTCCTTAACTAGCACACATCTGAGTTTGTGTCAAAATCATTTTTCTACTAAGTTAGCACCTTTCACTAACAAACTTTTTAACTTAAATTTTTATATCCATTAAAAGTTATGCTTCCACGACAAGGGTGATGCGTAATTCTGTTAACATTTCAAGATATTATTAAAATAACCTGTGATGTCTTATAAATTAGAAAACAATATGTGAACAAATTGTTTTTATAAAAAAAGCAGGTAAACTCTTAACATTATACATGACACAATGTGTACAACTCGGTAAATTCACAACTCTAGATATTGGGATTCTGTAGTAACATTTTAAGTTTACTGTTGTTTAAATTTGCTACTTGGAAACCTACTGAAAATTTTCTAATAAAAATTTAAAATACTAAGATTAGTGCATAATATACTCAAATAATATATTCACAGATGCCAAATATGTTAAATCTATAAATCCACATGTATATTTTATATAAAAAATTATATTATATATTTAATTTTTTTCTTTTTTGAGACAGAATCTCAAGCTATCACCGTGGATAGAGTGAGTCATCATAGCCCACAGCAACCTCCAACTCTGGGGCTCATGTGATCCTCTTGCCTCAGTTTTTCTATTTTTAGTAGAGACGGGGTCTCACTTTTTGCATAGCCTGGTCTAAACTCTTGAGCTCAAGCAAGCCACCCACCTCAGCTTCCCAGAGTGCTAGGATTACAGGCATGAGCCACCAACCTGGCCTAAATATATTTGAATTTTTTAATTACTTTAAAAATTCACGAGAAAGCACATTTATTTTAAATAAGGTTTAAAAATTCAGAAAATGTAAGTTATGATATAACAAAAAATAATACAATACTTGAACTTTATAATTTCAACAATAAATCATACATTATACTCAACTTTTTGGCAAGTTTAGATTTGTATGATAAGTGTGATAATCCTATTATAAAATGTACTACAATAATTTACCAGAATTCCTGAAAATAAGAAAAGACTGCAATGCCATTTTTAAATGTTAGTATGTACAAGCCAATCATGCACATTTTGGCTTTTAATTACTATAGAAGTCGAATATTGTAACTAATTAAATGTTTACATTCAGACTGAGCTTGAAAACATGAAAGGAAGTATTTGGCAGCTGGATTAAAATGTTTTTAAAAGTTAAGAAGATATTTCTCATTGGTAACCCTTTCTTTTTCATTGTAATAAACATGCTTCTTGTTTAAGCTCATCTTCTGTGAGTAAATAGCTCTGATGGTTTTCAAACCTTTAAAGCACTTTTTTCTTTTTTTAATAAAGAGGATAAAACTGTGTGGATATATAATCATTTTAATCAGGACTATATCAGTAAGGATGACATTAACATGGTAAAAATTGCATCTCTGCTATTGATAATTAAAAAATTATTCACATGATATGTTAGATCTAGATAATAAGATCTCATGTAATTAGGACAGTTTAACACTTTATAATGGCACAATATATCAGCTTGAAGTCATTAGATGGAGATGACATTCATTTGTAGAACTGCAGTATTAAAAGCTGCAGATAATAATCTAATTTCCACATTTCAAAAAAACCTAACACTGAAAAATCAAATATCGATTGTCTGGATTCTTGTTTTGCTTTCCATTTTAAACTCCGAGAAGTTTACAGACTTCTTTTTTTCTTGAGACAGAGCCTCAAGCTGTCGCCCTGGGTAGAGTGCCGTGGCATCACAGCTCACAGCAACCTCCAACTCCTGGGCTCAAGCGAGTCTCCTGCCTCAGCCTCCCAAGTAGCTGGGACCACAGGTGCCTGCCACAATGCCTGGCTATTTTTTGGTCATTGTTGTTGGCAGGCCCAGCTGGATTTGAACCCACCAGCTCAGGTGTATGTGGCTGGTGCCTTAGCTGCTTGAGCCATAGGTGCCAAGCCAGACTTCTTAAATATATTAAGAAACTTTCATGATGACACTCTGAATTTAAAACCTGCAGGAGCCTGGCTTGTTAAGATTATTGAAATTAAAGGAGTCTCAAGGATTTTGTCCTTGATTTGAACGGAATAATGCAGTAGGCAAGAGGGTCCTTTATTGCAGGCCACTTATCACGCAGGCCAGGAAGTAGAGCAGCAAAGGTCGAGAGAGCCAACATTGATTAATTAAACTGTTTAATAACCTTAAAAAAAACTCTGTCATTTAGTTGCTTACTTTTAAAGACCTTACGTTGGTCATCCAACTTAGGATTTGTAACCAGTTTAAAAGAGAGAGTGGATCTCAGCCGTACTGTTGTGTAAGTCTAATTCATCAGTATGCTTAACCCACCGACCTCCATTTATTAGCTAACATCTCAGCAAACACACTGGCTGTGATATTCCATTATCAAACAAGCACATGCCAATGAGGGATTGTCAGTATGTACTTGCATGGGTTCCTTTACCATAAGGCTCCCAATCACACACTCGTTCATGAAAATAACATAATTCAAAAAATATATGTTGACGTACATTCACGGGGTTCAAAGTATTTTCATACCAGCTACCTCATTGCCCTGATTTCCAGTTTATGAGTGTTTCTTTTCCAAGATCTCAATTCTACAGTGTTACTTTTTTTTTCCACCAGAGCATAAGGTTTTTTATTTATTCATTCATTTTTATTGTTGGGGATTCATTGAAGGCACAAGAAACCAGGTTATACAGACTGCATTTGTCAGGTATACCACATTGTTACTGTTTTTAGTAGAAACTTTTACAACATTCACATACATACTCTACCAAAATGCAATCAGAAAACTCTCACCAGAGTAAGCATGACTAATGGCAGGGGCACATAAGGAAGGGTGAGTCTGTGACACAGCACAGACAGCAGATGTTGATTGTCTGGATTCTTGTTTTGCTTTTCATTTTCAACTCCAAGAAGTTTACAGACTTCTTAAACGTCCTAAAAAACTTTCAGGGATATCTCAGACTTGGGTTGGTGATACTCAATTTTCATCTGCTTTAAAATTGAGGTTATGATCCAGGCCTGGTGGCTCCTCTTAGCCCTCTGGGAGGCCGAGGTGGGGTGATTTCATGAGCTCAGGAGTTGAAGTCCAGCTTGAGCAAGAGCATGAACCAGTCTCTACTAAAAACAGAAAAATTCACCAGTTGCTATAGCAGGCACCTGTAGCCCCAGCTACTTGGGTGGCCAAAGCAAGAAAGAGGATCACTTGAGCCCAAGAGATTAAGGTTGCAGTGAGCTATGATGATGCCACGGCATTCTAGCCTGGGCAACAGAGTGAGACTCTGTTTTAAATAAATAAAATATAAAATAAAATAGAATAGAATAAAATGAAATAAAATAAAATAGAGGGTATGATGAAACCTTAGCCATCATTTATGAAGCAACATAAAGGAATAAATGCTTTTGCCTTTGTATCTATACATTGTCAAAAAATAATGAACTTGGTTCTCCCCTAAGATCTTTTTCATGCTTCTCTTGAGGGGAACCCCTCTCACTGAAGTGATCCTGGTCTTTCAGCCCATCTGGACATGCACTGGGCCTTTTCCTGAGGCACTCAGAGTACACAGGAAGAACTCAGTACATACACACCAAATGTTATGGGGCCTCTTTTTCTAAGCAGTAAACTAATAAGCAAAAGCGAGTCTTATATATATTTCAGGGTGGAAAGTTGTCACAACAGCAGATTTTCTTCACTAATCATGGGGACCACAATCAAATGGATGTCATCATAATCAAAGGTCCAAAATCCAATTTCCTTTTGCCTGTGCTGTCCGCTTCCCCAATGTCCTATTAAACTCAACAGTTATAAAAACTAATGAAGGAACTGCAATTCAGAATGCAAATGATTATACACCTAAGCTTCAGTGACCTCCAACAATTAATAATAAGACGGTTAAGAAGAAAGGCAATAGGAAGGGTCACGCTGCTTTTACTATCAACACATGAGGAAGAAACGTAAGAGGAACTGATGACCGTCTGCAGGGTGTGCATCTATACGTGTTTTCCCACATGGCCTTTGAAATAATACTGCACAGAGAAAGGTTAGCATGTTTATTTCATGAATGAGGAAATTTGGGAGGATGAAGTTAAACAAGTAAAAGATGAGTCTGGAATTCAGTTGAAGAGTTCCGTCATTCTTCAAAGTTTGATCCTGACCTTTTTCTTCTGCTGTTTTACATGGGGAATGTGTACTGTCCTTACATATGATGGGAGAGAAGCTAGCACAACGAACACAGAACATGTGGAATTTAACTAGAGACATTCAGGAATTGAGAGAGCTTCACCAAATTGGAACATACGCACGTATTAAAACGGTAGGTGACAGGGTTGGCCATCAGTGCAGAATAAATACTGGGGGTTTATAGTGATATGTGTCCCTTGAGTTGTAAAAAAATGAAGCAGATATCATTATTGGCATATATACTGCTTATCTAATACAGATAAAGTAAGGTCCTCTCATTATTTTATTGACTTCTGGGAGGCATCTGTGGCTCAAGGAGTAGGGTGCTGGCCCCGTGTACCGGAGGTGGTGGATTCAAACCCAACCCCAGCCCAAAACTGCAAACAAACAAACAAAAAAAACGTATTGACTTCTTACTATGTGGCCATACATCCGTCACTCCATCTACTCATCTA